GGAGGCGATAGAGGGTCCCTACTCTTCTCAGTGGCAGGCAGCTATGGATGCAGAGATGGCTTCCTGGAAGTCCACAGGCACCTACGTTGACGATGTCCCCCCTCCTGGGGCGAACATCGTCAGTGGCATGTGGATTTTCAGGGTGAAGCGGCCGACAGGTTCTCCGCCTGTCTTCAAGGCTCGGTACGTGGCTCGTGGTTTCAGTCAGCGGCAGGGAGTTGACTACTTTCAGACCTTCTCTCCCACCCCGAAGATGACCACTCTTCGGGTGCTACTGCACGTTGCCGCTCACCGTGACAACGAGCTGCACTCCCTCGACTTCAGCATAGCTTTCTTGCAGGGCAGCCTGCACGAGGAGATCTGGCTGCGTCGCCCACCTGACTTCACTGGGTCGTTCCGTCCTGGTACCCAGTGGAGTCTCCGGCGCCCAGTCTACGGTCTCCGCCAGGCGCCACGTGAGTGGCACGACACACTGAGGACTACTCTTGCGGCTCTTGGGTTTGCACCTTCTACGGCCGACCCGTCGCTGTTTCTGCGCACCGACACCTCTCTGCCGCCGTTCTACATCCTCGTGTACGTCGACGACTTGGTCTTTGCCACTGCTGACACTGCTGGACTCGCCTACGTGAAGTCCGAGCTGCAGAAGAGACACACGTGCACAGACCTGGGTGAACTGCGTAGCTACCTTGGCTTGCAGATCACTCGGGACAGAGCATAGCGCACCATTACCCTGACTCAGTCACACATGGTGCAGCAGGTCCTTCAGCGCTTCCGCTTCACGTACTCCTCGCCTCAGGCCACTCCTCTGCCTACTCGCCACTCACTCTCAGCTCTGCCTTCGGATGAGTCCGTAGAGTCGAGTGGCACATATCCAGAGCTTGTTGGCTGCCTCATGTACCTGATGACCTGCACACGACCTGACCTTGCATACCCTCTTAGCATTCTCGCACGCTATGTTGCTCCTGGGAGACACCGACCAGAGCACATGGCTGCAGCGAAGAGGGTGTTGCGTTACTTGTGCAGCACGTCGGGCATGGGGCTAGTGCTTGGAGGGCGCAGTCCAGTGGTCCTCACTGGGCACACAGACGCTTCCTGGGCTGACGACCAGGCTACACAGCGGTCGTCACAGGGTTACACCTTCAGCCTTGGTTCCGGCTCTGTCTCGTGGCGGGCTATTCGCTCGTCTTCTGTTCTCGGCTCCAGTTGTGAGGCTGAGATCTACACTGGGGCCATGGCTGCACAGGAGCTGCGCTGGCTCACCTACCTGCTGACCGACCTTGGAGAGCCGCCTCGTTCTCCTCCAGTTCTGTACGTAGACAACAAGGCCATGCTGGCCTTGTGTCGAGAGCAGCGACTGGAGCACAGAACGAAGCACATTGCTCTCCGCTACTTCCTTGCTCGTGAGCTACAGCATTGTGGTCAGTTGCGGCTTGCGTACGTGGCCTCTGAGGCCAACACTGCTGATGTTTTCACCAAGGCACTTGCGCCTTGTGATCATCAGCGCTTCTGTACTCAGCTTGGACTTGTTCCTGTCTTGCCTCACTTGCTCACTTCTTAACCTTGCTTGTACTGTCTTATATATATACTCTTGCTCTTGCTTACTTAGCTTCTTATATATATATATATATATATATATATATATATATGCTCCTGCATGTGAACTGACCTTCTGGCCTTGAACTTGTGCTCAGAATGTGTGGTGACTTTGTGATCCACCCTGAGCTTTGCTTTGCTTTGCCTGACTGGTCTTGTGACCCCTTGTTCTCCCCCACTTTGCCTATGGGGGTGTGTCAGAACTTTATAGCTTATGCTATTGTGTAGGCTATAGTGGGGTATCCCATAGGGGGTACAACCCAATTAGGGTTTCCTATTTGTACTCACTTCATTCATAGTTCATTCATTCTCGTTCTAGTTTTCTCACTTCGCTCACATTTTGTACTCGTTTGACACCTTAGTGCAATTCTCACTACTTCGATTCATTGCACCCGTAACACTTGGTTATCAGAGCCTCTTTCCTTTTCGGACCGCGCATCTCCGCACCCCAGGAAATCAACTTTTGATTTTTCACCCGAAGGGACTCACGCACCTTAGCACCTAGGAGCCGCTGTCCTCGCGTTCTCTCGTAAACGCGTGCAGCCACGAATGTGCCTAGACTAAGACGAGACGATGCCCTTCGGAATGGCAGAACATCTTTATGTCACTAACCTCACGCAGGACCGCGTGGACGAGCTGTTGCGACAACTGCACGAAATCTCCGAAGAAATCGCAGCATTAACGGCGGAACGTACCTCCCTGCAGATTGACCTCGCACGAGCACAATCCCAAGCACCTGGCACTCCGATTCAGCCCGCACCACAAACATCGCAACACGGAAGTGTGGGGCAACCCGCGAGCGTCGCAAGTGATGGCGTCGTCCGCCATGACGGAGACGACGACCACGGCACGACACACCCCGACGCGACGAATGTGGCCAGGAATCAGCCTCGAGTCACGATTTCGGTGCCGGCCGGCGAATCAGCTCTACCGTCGCCGATGCCGCTGAAGCTGCAGCGTCCGCCATGCTTTGACCCAAGTCAGCGGGGTGGTCCTACCGTTCAGGCATGGCTTTTCACGTTGAACGTTTTCTTCGACGCGAACCACGTCTCGGAGGATACGACGAAGATTCGTTACGCCGAGTCATTGCTGCGAGGACCCGCCATGGACTAGTGGCGTGTCATCGTCATGAAGCCGGTGGACTACGCGACTCTACTGACACGGGAAGGACAAACCAGACCCTGGGCGCCGTCGTATTTCGTGAAGGTGCCCAATATTGCATGTGGGACACGTGGTGCGCAGGTCTGCCCCAGTATTGCATTGCGGCTTCGAACGCGGCGCGACAAAGGCTCCGCACTTGGCCCCAACTCGGTTCCGTCCAAGACTACACGAGCGGGTTTCTGGCGCTATGCGAGCAAGTGGGTTATATGCACGAGAGCGAACGCATCGACCGCTACATCGGCGGCCTGAAGCAGGACATCGCTCAGGAAATCCAGCTTTGCGGCGTCACTGATTTTGAGGAGATTCTCGCCATGGCGGAGAAGCTCGATTTCTTCCGCCGACCGAGACCGGGGTCCTACGGAAGCAGCAATTGGGGACATCGGCCTCGTGGGACGAACGAGGGCGCTACGATACGTGCCGTCGCCGCAAATGCCGCTGTCAGAATATATCTTATATATATGTCTGTATAAGTGCATGTAGTTCTAGCTGTAGAGTAGTTACGTAGTGTTCTGTGTGGTGGTGCACCACTCCTTGCTGGTTCTCTTCTATTTGTACCTGCTCTTCCATAGTCAAACCATCTCATTCTCTCTTCTTCTTGGCACAACCCAAAAGTTCCTCCTTGGCCTAGGCTACTAAGCCTAGGCCCTAACAAAACCCTAGCCATCACTTCTGCCTACTATTTCAACATGGAATCACAGGTGTTACGCTCTTGGCCTGTGGGCCCACCTAAAGCTTCCGTTGCTTTCCTGTCTGTCGCGCGCCCCGTGGTGCGCGACGTTTGGTGGTTTTCTGCCCGCCACGCGCTCGGGGCACGTGGCGGTTTCTCGCTTGTCCCCGTCGACATGCGCACGGCTCCCCGTCGCCCTTCGCGGCGGCCCCGTCGACCAGCGCGCGGCTCCCCGTCGCCCTTCGCGGCGGCCCCGTCGACCCGCGCGCAGCTCCCCGTCGCCCTTCGCGGCGGCCCCGTGGACCCGCGTGCGGCTCCCCGTCGCCCTTCGCGACGGACCCGTAGACCCGCGCGCTGTCAGAACATTATAGCTTATACATTTGTGTAGGCTGTAGTGGGGTAGCCCATAAGGGGTAAAACCCAATTAGGGTTAGTACTTGTACCCAACTCTTTCATAGTTCATTCCTCCTCGTTTCTTCTCATGGTATCGAGCAGGTTCCCTCGCGGGAACAATTCCTAGGGCCCACCACAACGAGTTTTAATTCCTGCCCGGAGCGCGCTTCGCTCAGGCCCGAGTCGCGCCCTGTGTTCTCTCCCTCCCGTCGCGTCGCCCTTAGCGGCCCTCTCACGGCCTCCTAGCGCCCTCCCTTACGGCCCGTCGCGCCGCCCTTACGGCCCGTCGCGCCGCTCTTAGAGCCCGTCGCGCCGCCCTTACGGCCCGTCGCGCCGCTCTTCACGGCCGCGTCGCGCCGCTCCTTCGCGGCCCTGTCGCGCCGCCTCTTACGCAGCCCGTCGCCGCCCTTTCAGCGGCTTCGCCGCCTCCCACCCCTCCGCCCGTTGTGGCCTCTTCCAGCGGCCTTACCGCCGCCTCTTCCAGCGGCCCGTCGCCGCCTCTTCTAGCGGCCTCGTCGTCGCCTCTTCCAGCGGCCCGTCACCGCCTCTTCCAGCGGCCTCGTCACCGCCTCTTCCAGCGGCCTCGTCGTCGCCTCTTCCAGCGGCCCCTCGCCGCCTCTTCCAGCGGCCTCGTCGCCGCCCCTCCCAGCGGCCCGTCGCCGCCTCTTTAAGTGGCCTCACCGCCGCCTCTTCCAGCGGCTAGTCGCCGCCTCCTCCAGCGGCCCTTCGAGCCGCCCGTCGGCCCACCCTAGCGCCGCCCTTGCGGCCACGACGCCGCCCTCGCCCGACCCCGCCGCCGCTCTACCTGGCCGCCGCCGAGCCGTCCAGCAGCAGGGCCGCCGCACACCCGAGCCGCCCAGCAGAGCAGCTGAGCCGCCCGACCGCCGAGCCGCCTAGCAGTAGAGCCGCCCAGCAGCCGAGCCGCCAGGCCGACGAGCCGCCCAGCAGCCGAGCCGCCGAGCCGCCCAACAGCCGAGCCGCCGAGCCGCCGAGCTGCCGAGCCGCCGAGTCGTACAGCAGCCGAGCCGCCGAGCCACCCAGCTGCCGAGCCGCCGAGTCGCCCAGCTGCCGAGCAGCCGAGTCGCCCTGCTGCCGAGCTTCCCAAGCCGCCCTGTCCGGTAAGAGCAGCGCCTCTATCACTGCACTGCCCTCACTCTACTGTTCGCGCTGCTAGTCTACTGCTGTCATGGCTACCCCTAGTGTCCTCGCTTTTGACGCTAAGGGTCGGGCCATTGACTTTGACGTCTGGATAGATGACCTGCAGCTTCAACTACAGTGCGATAGGGCAGAAGGTCTCTCCCTCTTTGACCTCACCTCTGGTGCCTCTCCTGCCCCTGCTGCTGATGCTGACACCGCTGTTCGCTCACAGTGGGCCACACGCGATGCTGCTGCACGTCTTGCTGTGCGTCGCCACCTGCCTACCTCTGAGCGTGCGCACTTTAGTCAGTACAAGAGTACTCAGACCTTGTACGACGCTGTAGTTGCACGCTACTCCTCCCCTGCCACTGCTGCACTGAGCCGCCTCATGCTACCGTACCTCTTCCCTGACCTTGCTGCCTTTCCCACAGTCGCTGACCTCATTACGCACCTCCGCACTAGTGACACTTGCTACCGCGCCGCGCTTCCTGCTGAGTTCTGCGCCAAGAACCCCCCCCCCCCCCCCCCCATGTATATCACCCTCTACTACATAGTCACCCGGCTCCCTGACTCCCTTCGCGTAGTCAGGGACCACTTCCTCGCAATGTGCCCCACCACTCTCACCGTTGACCTCCTCGAGAAGGCCCTCCTAGCAGCGGAGAAGAGCATAGTCGCTGTAGGAGCCTCTCGTGGTGACCCCCGCACACCCGTCTTTGAGGGGTGTTCTCCCTCCCCCCTCTTGCCCTCTGTTGCTTCTACTGCTGCGGCCGGCCTTGTTGGTTTTGAGTCGGTCGGCGCTGCGTCTGCCCCTTCGGGGAAGCGCCGCACAAGCAAGGGCAAGGGGGGCAAGGGCGCTGGAGGAGCTGGCGGGGGCGGTGGAGGCGGCGGTGGAGGCGGCGGAGGGGGTGGGGGTGGGAGTGGGAGTGGTTGCGGGGGTGGGGGTGCCGGTGGAAGCAGTGGAGGCGGAGGCGGCGGCGGTGGTGGCGGAGGGAGCGGAGGCGGCGGTGGTGGCGGAGGCGGCGAAGGTGGTGGAGGCGGCAGAGGTGGCGGTGGAGCTGGTCACGGATCTGCGCAGAGGAGTGGCTCCGGTGGTGGTCCGCGCCAGCGGCAGCAGCGCGGTCGTGAGACCCTGTCCCCTCAGCAGCTCCGTGAGTGGTAGGCTGCACGCCAGCGGGGTGGGGGTATTGGTCCGTGCACCTACGTCCTGCGCACTGGCGACCGTGCGGGTGAGCAGTGTGGGGGTGCGCACCCCACCCAGCGCTGCTTTGGCCGCCTGACGGACGCGTGGCGTCACCAGTTCTCTGAGGCCACAGAGATCCCTCGCTGGGGCGAGCTGTCTAGGGCGGGGGTTGATATCTTTGACCTTGACTTTGATGCTATTCTTGTTGATATGTATGCTGTGACTATTAGTGATGAGGGTGACTGTTACCGGTGTTTTCCGCCCGACCCGGGCATTGAGACTGCTGCTCTAGGTGCTGGTGAGGCTGCTGCTCTTGGTGCTAGCAAGGCTGCTGCTCTAGGTGCTAGTGCGTCTGCTTCCTCAGGTACTGGTGAGTCTGCTTTCTCAGGTACTGCGTCGGCTTCGGCCTCCCTCACCTTCACCCTTGACTCTGGGGCTTCTCGCTCCTTCTTTCGTGACCGCACTACATTCACGCCGCTTGGTCGGCCAGTTGCAGTCTCTCTGGCAGACCCCTCTGGGGGTCCTGTCCTTGCTCACTTCTCCACTGTCCTCCCGTGTCCGGGGGCTCCCTCAAGCACCCTGTCTGGTCTTTACCTCCCCTCGTTCTCTACGAAATTGGTGAGTGGTGCTGACCTACAGGATGGGGGAGTGCACCAGTTCACTCCTGCGAGCCAGCGGGTGACTCACTGTACTGAGGCTCGTACGGGCCGACACTTGGCCACGTTTACACGTCAGCCGGGGTCGAGCCTGTACACACTGGGAGTACTGGAGCTGCTGGGCCTGCGGGTTCGACTAGAGCTGGTGCTGCTGCGGGTGTTGGCGGTGAGTCTACTGTTGGCGGTTCTGCTGGGGGTGCTGGTGCTGTCCCTGCTGTGTCTGAAGTCACCGCGCGGCCTCGACCGTACTTCCTCCTTCTACTGGTCTTCCTTCTCCCTTAGAGTGTCCATAGCCTGTCCCGTCACAGTTACAGTTACAGCCGGCCTCCCCTCTGCCTGCTCCTTCTTTCTACACTGGTCATACTGGAGGTCTTGCTGAGCGTCGTGAGCCTGCGTCTCGCCCTGCGTCTCCTGTCCGTGCTGCTCGCACTAGTGGTCGTGGTTCGCGTCGGCGTCCTCCTCCTGTCCCTAGCACGCACAGGATGTCTCTGCGTCCGTCCACTGCTCCTCTGCGTGCCCCTTTGCCTTCTCCTCCTGAGTCCTCTCTTCCTGCTCTTGCCGACCCGGAGTCGGACTCTCTTCGTGCTGCCAGTCCTACTGTCACGCGTCTCCTTGCTACTGCCGTCACTGACCCTTCCTTTGAGTCCACTGCTACGTCTGCCCTAGTTGCTGAGCTCGTCGACTTTGCTGCTCGCTGTCGCCTAGACTACGCTGCTAGTCTTGTCGCTGAGTCTGAGTCTGTCTGTCCTCTGTCTGTCGGGGGTGAGTGTGCCCTTGACACGGACGTCCTTGAGGACAGGCAGGAGGAGTTCCAGTGTCTGGCTGCTGCTTCACCTCATCTCGTGTCCGTACTGCTTACCCCTGAGGGAGACCCGGATGCACTTGACATCCCGACTCCGCGCTCTTACGCGGAGGCGATAGAGGGTCCCTACTCCTCTCAGTGGCAGGCAGCTATGGATGCAGAGATGGCTTCCTGGAAGTCCACTGGCACCTACGTTGACGAGGTTCCCCCTCCTGGGGCGAACATCGTCAGTGGCATGTGGATCTTCAGGGTGAAGCGGCCGTCGGGTTCTCCGCCTGTCTTCAAGGCACGTTACGTGGCTCGTGGCTTCAGTCAGCGGCAGGGAGTTGACTACTTGCAGACCTTCTCTCCCACCCCGAAGATGACCACTCTTCGGGTACTATTGTACGTAGCTGCTCACCGTGACTACGAGCTGCACTCTCTTGACTTCACCACTGCTTTCTTGCAGGGCAGCCTGCACGAGGAGATCTGACTGCGCCGCCCACCTGGCTTCTCTGGGTCGTTCCCTCGTGGTACCCAGTGGAGTCTCCGGCGTCCAGTCTACGGTCTCCGCCAGGCGCCCAGTGAGTGGCACGACACACTGAGGACTACGCTTGCGGCTCTTGGGTTTTCTCCTTCTACTGCCGACCCGTCGCTGTTTCTGCGCACCGACACCTCTTTGCTGCCATTCTACATCCTCGTGTACGTCGACGACTTGGTCTTTGCCACAGCTGGCACTGCTGGACTCGCCTACGTGAAGTCCGAGCTGCAGAAGAGACACACGTGCACAGACCTGGGTGAACTGCGTAGCTACTTTGGCTTGCACATCACTCGGGACAGAGCATGCCGCACCATTACCCCGACTCAGTCACACATGGTGCAGCAGGTCCTTCAGCGCTTCGGCTTCACGTACTCCTCGCCTCAGGCCACTCCTCTGCCTACTCGCCACTCACTCTCAGCTCTGCCTTTGGATGAGTCCGTAGAGTCGAGTGGCCCGTATCCAGAGCTTGTTGGCTGCCTCATGTACCTCATGATCTGCACACGACCTGACCTTGCATACCCTCTTAGCATTCTCGCACGCTATGTTGCTCCTGGGAGACACCGACCAGAGCACATGGCTGCAGCGAAGAGGGTGTTGCGCTACTTGTGCAGTACGTCAGGCATGGGGTTAGTGCTTGGAGGGCAGAGTCCAGTGGTCCTCACTGGGCACGCAGACGCAACCTGGGCTGACGACCAGGCTACGCAGCAGTCGTCACAGGGTTACACCTTCAGCCTTGGTTCCGGCTCTGTCTCGTGGCGGGCTACTCGCTTGTCTTCTGTTCTCGGCTCCAGTTGTGAGGCTGAGATCTACGCTGGGGCCATGGCTGCACAGGAGCTTCGCTGGCTCACCTACCTGCTGACTGACCTCGGAGAGCCGCCTCGTTCTCCTCCAGTTCTGTACGTAGACAACAAGGCCATGCTGGCCTTGTGTTGAGAGCAGAGACTGGAGCACAGAACAAAGCACGTTGCTCTCCGCTACTTCCTTGCTCGTGAGCTACAACAGCGTGGTCAGTTGCGGCTTTCGTACGTGGCCTCTGAGGCCAACACTGCTGATGTCTTCACCAAGGCACTTGCGCCTTGTGATCATCAGCGTTTCTGCACTCAGCTGGGTCTTGTGCCTGTCTTGCCTCACTTGCTCACCCCTTGACCTTGCTTGTACTGTTACAGATATATATACCTGCTCTTGTTTGTCTAGCCTTATATATATATATGTACTCTTGCATGTGAACTGGCCTTGTGGCCTTGAACTTGTGCTCGGAATGTGTGGTGACTTTGTGATCCACCTTGAGCTTGCTTTGTTTTGCTTTGCTTTGCTTGAATGGTCTTGTGACCCCTTGTTCTCCCCCACTTTGCCTATGGGGGTGTGTCAGAACATTATAGCTTATGCATTTGTGTAGGCTATAGTTGGGTAGCCCATAAGGGGTACAACCCAATTATGGTTATTACTTGTACCCAACTCTTTCATAGTTCATTGTCGGAACATATAGCTTACTTGTTTCTGTAGGCTATAGTGGGGTATCCCATAGGGGGTACAACCCAATTAGGGTTTCCTATTTGTACTCACTTCATTCATAGTTCATTCATTCTCGTTCATATCTTCTCATGGAATCAGAGCAGGTCCCTTCCTAGGGACTCTTCCTAGGGCCCACCGAAGCGCACCCCGAGGCGCGCGTTTTTTTTAGCGACCCTCCGTGTCGCCCTTACCGCCGTGCTCCCGCTTAGGCCCCTCGTCGGCCCCGCTTAGGCCCCTCGTCGGCCCCGCTTAGGCCCCTCGTCGGCCAAGCTTAGGCCCTTAGTCGGCCCCCCCTTAGGCCTCGTCGGCCCCGCGTAGGCCCCGTCGGCCCTGCCTAGGCCCCGCTACGGCCCCGCGTCGGCCCCGCTTAGGCCCCGTCGGCCCCGCTTAGGCCCCGCTACGGCCCCTCGTCGGCCCCACTTAGGCCCTGTCGGCCCCGCTTAGGCCTCGTCGGCCCCGCTTAGGCCCCGCGTCGGCCCCGCTTAGGCCCCGTCGGCCCGCCTAGGCTCCGCTACGGCCCCTCGTCGGCCCCGCCTAGACCCCGTCGGCCCGCCGTAGGCCCCGCTCCAGCCCGCCGTCGGCCCCGCTACAGCCCGCCGTCGGCCCCGCTACAGCCCACCGTCGGCCCCGCTACAGCTTGCCGCCGGCCCCGCTACAGCCCGCTGTCGGCCCCGCTCCAGCCCGCCGCGGGCCCCGCTACAGCCCGCCGTCGGCCCCGCTACAGCCCGCCGCAGGCCCCGCTACAGCCCGCCGTCGGCCTGTCGTCAGCCCCGCTACAGCCCGCCGCCGGCCCCGCTACATCCCCGCTACGGCCCGCCGTCGGCCCCGCCGCCCGTGCTGCAGCCCGCCGCGCCGCCGTGCAGCCGCCCGTGCAGCCGCCCGCCGTGCCGCCCGTGAGCAGCCCCAGCCGCCCGTGAGCCGCCCGTGCAGCCGCCCGCGCCGCCCGTGAGCCCCTGCGTCACCCGAGCCGCGCGAGCCGCCAGAGCCACCCGAGCCGCCCGAGCCGCCCGAGCCGCCCGAGCCGCCCGAGCCGCCAGAGGAGCCGCACTCCTGCTCCTGTGGGGCCACTGCTGCTCCTGGGCTGTGTTACTGTGCCGCTGACCTACCCGACTTTTCCTGCCCGGTGAGACTGTCAGCTGCTGTCATGGCCACCCCCACTATCCTAGCTTTTGATGCTGAGGGTAGAGCCATTGACTTTGCAGTCTGGATTGAAGACCTGCAGCTGTACTTACTGTGTGATGCGATAGATGAGGTCTCTCTCTTTGACTTTGTCTCTGGCGCTGTCCCTGCCCCTCCTGCTGATGCTGACCCCGCCGTTCGCTCCAAGTGGGCGACCCGCGATGCTGCTGCACGTCTTGCTGTGCGTCGCCACCTCCCTTCCTCCGAGCGTGCCCACTTTAGTCAGTGCAAGACCGCTCAGGCCTTGTACGACGCTGTAGTTGCACGCTACTCCTCCCCTTCCTCCGCTACGCTTAGCCGCCTCATGCTACCGTTTCTCTTCCCTGACCTCGCAGCCTTTCCCACTGTCGCTGACCTCGTTACCCACCTCCGAGCTAGTGACGCTCGCTACCGCGCTGCCCTTCCTACTGAGTTCCGCGCCGCAAACCCTCCTCCCATGTACATCACTCTCTACTTTCTCGTCACTCGTCTCCCTGAGTCCCTTCGTGTCGTTAGGGACCAGTTTCTCTCTGTCTGTCCCACCACCCTCACTGTCGACCTCCTTGAGGAGTCCCTGCTAGCGGCTGAGAAGAGCATCGTCGCTGTAGGGGCCTCTCGGGGTGACCCTCGCACCCCCATTTTTTAGGGGTGTTCTCCTCCCCCCCTGCTGCCCTCTGTCGCCTCTGCCGCTGCGGCCGACCTCGCTGGTTTTGAGTCGGTCGGTGCGGCGTCTGCCCCCAGCGGTAGACGCCGCAATGGCAAGGGCAAGGGGGGCAAGGGAGCGGGTGGAGCTAGAGGGGGCGGTGGCGGGGGAGGTGGGGGTGGCGGGGGGAGTGGGGGTGGCGGTGGAGGTGGTGGCGGGAGTGGAGGTACTAGTGGAGGCGGTGGAGGCGGAGGTGGCGGCGGAGGAGGTAGCGGAGGAGGCGGGGGTGAGGGTGCCGGTGGGGGCGGTGGCGGTGGAGACGGGGGTGGCGGTGGAGGCGGGGGTGGCGGTGGCGGTGGGGGTCGGAGTGGCTCGTCTCAGCGGAGCAGCTCTGGGGGTGGTCAGCGCCAGCAGCAGCAGCAGCAGCAGCAGCAGCCACAGCAGTAGCAGCGCTCTCGCACCGTCCCCGCCCCTCAGCAGCTCCGTGAGTGGTACTTGCAGCGTCAGCGTGGTGGTGCGTTTGGTCCCTGCCCCTACGTTCTTCGCACCGGCGACCGTGCGGGGGAGAGGTGTGGAGGCACCCACACAGCCCGCCGCTGCTTTGGCCGCCTGACCGACGCCTGGCGTCAGCAGTTTCCGGAGGCCGCTGAGATCCCCCGCTGGGGGGAGCTGTCTAGGGCTGGTGTAGCTATTTATGATCTTGACTTTGATGCTATTCTTTCTGCTATGTATGCTGTGACTGGTAGTGATGAG